TTTTTTTTTTTTTTTTTTTTTTTTTTTTTTTTTTTTTTTTTTTTTTTAAGAACTTTATTATGAACACAATTTACAAACAAACCAGGCAAACAGTGTAGTACAATATAATAAACAGATTTCACAGGTTGAGTTATTTACATTCAAAAGACATACAAGAAAAAAAAAAAAATTAAAATAAATACATTAAAAAAAAATAAATTTAGAGGTTTATATCAAATCAAACGTATTGATCAAATTATAAAGTTGTTGAGCAGATTTACTTTTAACCAATTTAAGAGACTCACAAAAAGATTTCAGGTTATTTTTCCAATGAGATAAATTTGGATTCACCTTAAAAAATCTACATTTATGAATAAAGTACTTTCCTAGTAATATTATGTTATTAATTAAAAATTCTATTTTAGAGTTTTGAAAATAAACACCAAATTTTATTATTGTTAAAGTCAGATCAGGCAATTCAATTCCCTGGGTCTGAAGCCAACCCCACACACTTCTCCAAAAGTCTAGACTGACATTGCAGTTGAAAAAAAGATGATCTAAATTAGGGGTGCACCGATAAATCGGCCGGCCGATCGATCGGCCCCGATTTCCTTAATTTGGGGAGATCGGCGATCGGCCGATCTTTAAATGAGAAGCCGATTTTATCCACCGATCTTATCTGCCTCCGGAAAGGTCTGAAAATCAGCTGCTGTCCCCTTTTGCTCCACTGTGAGAGCTCACACACAGGTCACTCGGAGCAGCCATGTCGTCGGTTTGGAAGTTCTACGCTGTAAAAGAAAATGAGCCAAAGATCGCAATTTGCAATTCGTGTAAAGCCGAAGTAAGTCGTGGTGGAGCCACCACCAAAACCTTTAATACAACAAACCTCGTTCGCCATTTAAGAAATCACCACGCCGCCAAGTATGCAATGTTTGAAGAGAGCAACCAAGCTAAGGCTAATGCTAAAGCTAGCGCTAACAAAGAGGCAGTCGGTGGGTCGCTGTTAGCTTTTATGAGCAACGAAAAGAGCAAAGCTACCACGAGGAAAGTGATGGAGTTCATGGCATTAGACAACCAGCCATTTTCAGTCGTTGAGGACAAAGGTTTTAGAAGCTTGATGCAGCACGTGTGCCCACGATATAATATGCCGAGTCGGAAATATTTTTCTGATGTTGCATTACCGGAGTTGTTCAGCCAAGTTTCGAGAGACACCCGCAGCCTGCTAAAAGCTAATACAAATACACTCAGCTTTACAACAGACATCTGGACTTCTGATGTAAGTTTAATGTCCATGTTAAGTTTTACTGCACAGTGGATTGACGAACAGTTCGAACGTCATCAATTACTCTTAAACTGTAAAGAAATGGCAGGGTCTCACACTGCGGCCAATTTATCAGCAGAGTTTAAGGCGATGCTGAATCACTGGGAAATCGATCATGGAAGAGTTCACGTTGTTTTACGGGATAATGCTCGTAATATGGCCAAAGCGCTGGATGATATCAACCTGAAAAGTTTACCCTGCCTGGCACACACACTGCAACTGGTTGTAAATGAGGGACAGCTGGCGCAGCGCAGCATCACAGACATGGTGGCAACAGGAAGGAGAAT